TCTAGTGTGAGTAGTGGTCTAAGAGTGCGCTCTTCCATGCTGCAACGACTGATTCTCCCACTCTTCTCTTTCTACCGAATGTTTGTCTGCCTTGTCTCTGGTTTCCTTTCTCTTCCTTTTGTTCCCCTTGTTTTCTCATTTTTCTTTCTTTTTTTGGATGCCTATTGTAGTCTTTCTTTTGTCTCTCTCTCTCTCTCTCTCTCTCTCTCTCTCCACCCTTTGCTCCAGTGTTGGCTTTGTCTTTGCTCTAGGAATCCTCCCAGACAGTGTGATGTGCTCTAAAAGGATCTCCCTCTCACGCTTCGATCCCAGCACGCAGTGGAAAAACCAACAGCATGCCCCTTGTAACATGCCCAAGTGCTTTTGCGGCTCCCTGGCAATCATGCGCTTCAAAAATAAAAGGCCAATGATAATGAGAAGAAAAATCATATTAGAGCAACTGAAAGCAGCAAACGGTTTCAAGAAAGGTGACGGTGCCCTCAGGAAAGAGGGTGATGCGTTGTAACCACTTACAGGTTTTGAGAACATACATTCTAATTTGTCTTACACTCTGACTTTCATTGACTCTGAAGACAGGGCCTGACAGGCATAACCAATTCACCCACAGCACTGATCACTGTTCAAACAAGTGTGCTGGCAGCCGGATGGTAATTGAAATGAACAATGGGCCTGCCCCATCACTCAAGCGATTGAGCAGAAAGCGTCGACAAGGCTCATCTGTCGCTCTCTTTGTTCTCTCTACATTGCACTGTTCGATTGATGGGAGCGTGGAGATGATCGTATCTGTCTGCTCTGGAATTGATATGAACACGACTGCCGATCCATAGGGACCGATCCAGTGAATCAATTAGTCGTTTTGTGCGAATGCACCGAATACTGAATTTACAGAGTAAATTACAGAACCGCTTGATGAATACAGATAAAAAAAAAATTTATATCAGGAAATTGCATTGCACAATGCCCATAAATGAGGAAGACATGAAAAAGAAAGTATAGTTTGAATGGTGTTGTACAAATGAGCTTGGTGTTGAGAACCATTTGCCTTTTGTCCAAATTTTCTGTTTTGAATCCAAACCATGTCACTTAAATACTTCATGCAGATCTGTTTTAATTTTGGGCTTTTTCATTAATTTTGGGGTTTTCGCATAGTTTTTTACTAAGCACTGGGAATCTGCATGAGTGTGTATGCTTAGTCATTGCATGGTTTTTGGAAGGGCTGCTGAAACGGGTGCTCATTTAGGACTTTAATTAAGACTAAATGCGCTTTCAGACTCAGCGATACGGCGCAGCCTTCATTTTCAGGAACCTCATTTTTCAGGAACTTGATGATCTAGAGTCTTTCAGCACTGCATGTAAGACACTGAATGAACACGCGGTCCATGGAGGAATACTGTGGAATAATGAATGAAGGGTCATAATGCCTTTCTAATTTACATATAACTCAAGCGCGTCTTTTCATTTTGTGTATTTGTGTTATTTCCTTTGAGGAGAAAAGAAAGATAATAATTTATAAAAATAATTGTATATTGTAAAAAATATATATGTTTCTTGAACCAAGTGCTGCTTGGTCGTTTGTTTTCATTTCTGAAAAAGCACAATGACCTTTTTGAATCTTAATTTACCCAAATTATAGAGTTGTATTTTCTGCATAATAAAATGATTTGAAAAGGGCACTTTAAAAGTAATAGTTCACTCAAAAACTCTTATTTACTCGTTCAAAACCCTGATGCTGTTTTTTTCTTCTGTGTAACTTGAAAAGGAGGCTTTTTTTTTTAAAGAATATTGACAGCTGATTTCCATACATAAAGCTGGTCCATATATCATGTGTTGAACTCAGGAACCGGATCAGTAAATGAATCATTCTGTTGGTCCAGTTATTTTCTATGAACTGATTGATCTGATTCACAAATCAGACTGATTTTGTTTGGAGTTTAGCACACTAATTCACAGCTTGCTGGAGGGAAAGTTTATTGCTGAATAATGGTTTAAACGCAATAGAGCATATTAGTCATATAGACTGCTTTTATGATGCTTTATAGTGTTGTTTTTTTTCTCTAGCTTCTCATACATGATTGCTTTGAATTGTTGTATGGAAAAGAGCTGTGTGCCAATTCTTCAAAAATTTCCTTTTTTTGTTTCACAGAAAAATAACAGCAAGTTTTGAATGACATTAGGATAAGTAAATAATGACAGAATTTTCATTTTCACAGAATTAGCCCCAAAAAATCGAGAAACATACCCCTCAGGCCACTTGTGACTGTCTAAACTTGTTCATCTCTCATGCGTTTGCGTCCCTATAGACACATCTTCATGGGGTAGTTAAAAGCCTGGGCTTAATTTAACCGCCAGTTTAAGTTCTCTTAGTGTCTGATAGGCTCTGCTCTCAACGCTTCACAAGGCCTCTACTTAGTCAAAACAACTGTTAATTGACAGGCAGAACGACCCTGAACAGCCCTTGAATAAAACATGAGAGAGGTTGGAAGTTACGCATGATCAAGTGGGAATTTAAAGGAAAAGGAAAGAGAAATCTGTAGACTCATAGCTCTCCATCTGCTCACAGTTCATATTTTAGGCTTCTTGCTGATCACAGGCTTTAATTTGTCTACCTAAAACGGGTTTATCTATCAGTCTAATCAGCCGCCAACCTTCAGTCCGTTGGAATCCTAGAGGAAAGACTGCATTGTGGTAATTCATAATCTTTTGGGCGCACAGTGTGTCATGCAAAGATTGAAAGCCGAGAACAAAATGAAATTATTGACTTCTTTTCATTGCCTTGGCTCCCTCCTGGGTTTCTGCGGAGGAAAATCATGGCTTGTGCTTGGGATGGTAGCCTACAACAACACTTGACACTTGACAGTCAGACAAACTCCAGAGACATCTACGGCATCTGTGTTCATAAGCTCCATTCCAAACCCTAGTGAGCTGTCTACCTAGTCAGCTTTTTAAGGCATAAGGCATGCTTCCCTATGCTGAGGCCATTTTAAACAATAGGCAACAATAATATATCCAGTTTTGGTGAAATTTTACCCAGCATATGTATTTTTATTATTGGATTGAGTGTTTATCATAACAGTATGCAACAGTCAGACTCTTTTGGAATTAATTGTCACATTACTTTCCTATGTGTTTCACTCTGTCTGTCGGACGCATGGAGATGCTGCCCATGTAAAGCATTAGGGCTGGGCAAAAAAATCGATTTTTCGATATATCGTTTTTTAAAATGTGGTCGATTCAATATCGATTCTCAAAGGCCACGAATCGATTTTTTTCTATATTTATTTCCGCAAACATTGAACATAAGATTTACGTTAATCTTATTACTAGTCTAATCCACTAGATGTCACCCCCTTATTTGCCTTGCGCGATGTTACAACAAAGAGTCCGTCATTCATTCATTGCTTAAAATGGCAGATCCAGGGCTCTACAGTGCGACCATTTCAGTCGCATCTGCGACTGAAAACTACCGCGTGCGGAATCGAATTGAGAGCTTGAAAATCGAAATCGAATCGAATTGGAACATCTGAATCGATACCCAGCCCTATAAAGCATTCCTAATTGGTAGTTTATGAGGTTCCATTACAGTTAAGATGGCTTAGTGGCTGTTCACACAGGATTACTTCATGTATCTTCACAGTTTGGCCATCTCTCTGTATTTTCAGTGTCATGATTGCATCAAGAAAGATGCAATGTCATTTTAAAAAGAATTCAATTTCTGAACCATATTGCATTGTACCAATCAGGGAAATTTGTGTTTTGAGTGTATACCCTTAAGTGTTCTAGATCTAGCGACGACACATTCTTAAAGGCACATTTGAAAAGTCAATTCCTTCAAATGGAAAATGTAAAATGCTTCTGTGTAGTAAAAAATGCTTTGTGTTTCGTAATTTAACACAACCTTTTTATACACTACATAAATTGTACAGTGTGTTGGGATATGCTCCATTTGATTGCATGCATGAACAGATGCTTGACACATGCACACCAGTGTCTCTGCTATTTCTCTCCAGAAGTTATGACAGAAAAAATGTCTTGTATTAATTTAAACTAGATTTGCTTGTATCTCTTAATTCAACTCACACAAGTGCTCATCAAAGCAGACGTCTATATTTGTTGCGGTCTTTAGTTGTTTATTCCGTCTTACCTTGAAAAAGTCACATGTGCTGAGCAAATACATATGTGCAAAATAGAAAAAAAATCATTCTGTGTGCATACAGTACATTTGTACTATACTATGCTGATGATGAAATTTGTCACACACACTATGCATACACTAGCGTGCGCATAAAAACCAAAGTATGCTTTAGAAAGCACTAGCTTTTAGAGCAGAACTATCATTTCATCCTTGTGCTTGTCACGTACCTTATCAGCCTTGTCACAAGTGTTCTGCTTTTGGAGGAAGTATTCCACCAAAGTTTGAAGACATGTCTAAATGTGGAGTGGCTCGGAGCTGAATCTCACCCAGCCGTTTAATGGAAGCGAGCAGGCGATAGAGCTCAGAGAGAGGACGCCTAGAGCCACAGCTGAGACAAAGACACGCTTTCCCCAGTGGGGGAAAAAAAGAAAAACACACATGCACAGAGTGAAGATACATCGACAGGGTGCTGCTGGCCAGTGACCTGAAAGGGGAATGACAGTGCAGCGGTCGCGGTCACAGCGGGGGCTTCTGGGTAACAGGACATCTCTTTTGCGACGCTTCATCTTTCACATCAAAGGCCTTTGTGCATCCACGTGTTATTCTACCCTGTTAAAACGCATCGTACATTATCAGACCAAACAGCTTTTTTGGCTTTCATGTTGCTACATTTTGCATCGAACAATAGAGTTGTTTCCGGATGGGTTTTTTAAAAGGTTTTACATTGAAGATGTCATGAAGGCAGGCAGCTGTAGATCAACCAATCAGTAGGATGCGGCTGTGTCAGTGTTCAAATAATGCAGGTACTCACCATACTTCTTGATATTTATGGCCAAGGCGCTAACTTCCTGTCATTTCTGTGTTCTAGATGATGAAACATGCGTGGGACAGCTACAGGCAATACGGCTGGGGCCACAACGAGCTCAAACCCATCGCCAAGAAAGGACATTCCACCAATATCTTCGGTAAGTAAGGAGCGCACATGCATGTTGGAGTCTCATTTACATGCAAATGACTGCTCTTGCGGGATCATTCAGTTCAGGGTGGTAAGGACAGACACACACAATCCCATCTACATCCATTTTTGTGTGCTATCTACAACTTTCACCCTCGAACGATGAGACGTGCAAGCGCAGTTCACCGTCCCTAATCATTATTCTGTTTGTGTGTATTTGTATATCGCTGGCTCTCAGCTGCAGAGGTAAAGAAGATTCGACTACTGAGACTGAATTTGATCTGTGTGTGTACATGTGAGCGTGCCTGAACAAAGAAATCACAATTGATCCTGTTTCCGTCTTACTTTGCTGCTGTGTGTGCAGGGAAAAATAATAGTAATAAAATAAATAGTTTTGACTCTGAATCCCGATAGGATGAGCTGCATTGAAAGCCGTTGTGAAATGCAGATAAACACACCTGTGACTGCACATTCTTAAAGGAGTAGTTCACCCAAAAATACAAATTTGATGAAAATTTACTCAGCCTCCGAGATACAGTCATCCGAGATACAGATGAGTTTGTTGCTTCATTGGAATAGATTTGGAAAAATTTAGCATTACATCACTTGTGCACCAATGGATTCCCTGCAGTGAATGGGTGCCGTCAGAATAAGAGTCCAAACAACTGATAAAAACGTCTCAGTAATTCACACGACTCCAGTCCATCAATAAATGTCTTGTCAAGCGAAAAGCTGCTTGTTTGTAATAAATTCACGATTAGGACGTTTTTAACTTCACAAGTCCATAATATTGCTTTCCCCAGTGAAAAAGTGGTCTCATCTGCATCAGGAGAGAAATATGCACAGATCAAGCACTGTTTATAAGTAAAAACGGCCCAAAACAGTTCAATAAATGTCCCGTCCTTCATTGTTTCCATCTGAATATTCTCAAACTCTTTTCACTCAAATTAAATGTATTGTGAATGCCGCTTCATTTTGTCTTTAAATATTTAGCTTTGCAAATTGACCTCAAGCAGTTTTCCTCATAAATTTGCCAAAATGTCGGTTGAGGTTTTATTTGTTCTTTCTTTGAGATAGCAGTAAGACGCATATAATGCAGTTCTGTGGTTTAAACAAAATAAGAGGGAGCTTTTGAAGAAGAACAAAGATGCGAGAAGGAGAGAGAGTGTGGAAGAACAAGGGAGATGTGAGAGACTCAGCACAGAGACTCATGCTGCAGTGCGGTGTGTCGAAGTGTCTTTCACACTTCACTTTCATATTTAATAAGCCTTTCTCTGTTTATACCTAACACGTGGAATGAACTCCTCAGCCATACATGTATCGATCTCTCTGTTTGAATGTACTTTGGTGTGTTTTGGATGGAGGCTGGTGGAACACACTGCTTGGATGACTTTGCTCTTCTTTTCCAGAGGTTTCCCTCTCAGACACCCTGAACACGGTGTGCTTTGCTCCACCTGAAGTTCTGTCTTCAAGTGAAGAGAAACACCACTTCTCTATTCAAAAACACTGTTTATGTGAGCTGTGTGACACTCACGCCATTGGTTGAGCCAGTGTTGCTGTGTCTGGCTGGTTGGGATGCTAAAGCAAACACAGTACTTATTCAACTATGATAGGAGGAAGTATTTTAACATCCAAAAATGATGCACTTGTCTTTTAAATTTACATGATCTTTTGGTTACTTTCTCCTATTTAAATGTAGTTATGTTGGGGCTTGTTTCACGCACCCAGATTAAACTCAAATCATGAGAAAAACTTTTAGTATAAATTAAGTCAACAGAAAGTGACATGATGAAACTCAGCAGCATCAGCTCACTCATTAATAATGCCTCTATAAATAGTTCAGGCTGCTTTTCTGGTTCAGGCTAGCAAAAATAAAAAAACTATATATATGTCAGTACATTTAATGTGTACACAATGTAATGTAATTACTATAATATTATATAATATTTAAATATGAATAGCTATATAAATAGTTTAGGCTGCTTTTCTTGTTCAGGCTAGCCAAAGAGAAAAGACAGCTGTAGCGTCTGGACCAATCAGACACACCATTTTTCATTTGATTTAACAAATCAATTATTCATTAGATTAACAAACATTCACAGACCCCTCACCCAATAAACATACTGGGTGCCAGGATGTCTGCAACGACACCAGGCCCCCCCTGGTCCCCATGGCAACCACGACACCTTTGCTAGACCAGATACATTTACGACCTAATGCCATGTTGAGAAGAGGTCAAGCAAATATCTACAGCGGATCTAAATATTTATAATTAATTATAACTAGTTATGATTAATTATTCATATTTCCCCATGAGCTGATTCGCTACACAGCTTTTCAGTCTTCTGTGAGTAACATTCCCATTATTATGCATAATCCGCAAGGCTTTTGTGAGGATTATGATAGTTTTCTGTAATAAAAGGTTATAGTTTTTTGAATATCTGTCAGTTAATTTATTGCTGCTTGTCTGACCTGTGACTGGTGGACTGACCTGTTTTTGGTGGACCAGACTAAATTCACTATTACTGTCTGTCTTTCTTCCTTTGCAGGACAGAGAGAGAATTGATATTTCTCAGAAAACCTTGCAAACATTAAACATTATTTAGCATAATACTGCAGACAAAGCTATGAGAAAATAAATACTATATACATAAATATGCAATGAACAATAGATGAAGTAAGCATAAATGGCAACATCCTTAACATTTGGGAAGTGAAACTGGACTAGTTCACACAAAAAAAAATTTTTTTTCTCATCTACTTACTTTTATGTTGTTCTTAATCCAAACTTTCTTCTGTTGAATGAAAATAAGAAATTTTTAAGAACTCTTTCTGTCCATAAAGTGAAAAGTCAACATTGGACCCCATTGTATGAACATCATCGAATGGATTGTTGGAAAATTCAAAAGTAAACTCTGAGAAAATAAATACTATATACATAAATATGCAATGAACAATAGATGAAGTAAGCATAAATGGCAACATCCTTAACATTTGGGAAGTGAAACTGGACTAGTTCACACAAAAAAATTTTTTTTCTCCTCATCTACTTACTTTTATGTTGTTCTTAATCCAAACTTTCTTCTGTTGAATGAAAATAAGAAATTTTTAAGAACTCTTTCTGTCCATAAAGTGAAAAGTCAACATTGGACCCCATTGTATGAACATCATCGAATGGATTGTTGGAAAATTCAAAAGTAAACTCTTTCAAAAATTTAATGATAACAGTAAATGATATAAAACAGTAAATAACAGTAAATGATAACAGTTTTAATTTTTGGGTGATCTATCCCTTTAAAGACAGTCTAGTCAGCTAGTTTTGTTTTGTACTTAAGTGTAATATTTGTGACATTCCAACAGGCCCGAAGTAATGTTGAATTGACTGTTTCAAAACACATTGCCTTTCGTGCTCAAACCTGGTTTAAGAATTCTGATCAGCTGTGATTCCACATAGGGCTTTGACCACTTGACTGTACATCTGACATGTTGGTCGAAAGGACTCTGAACATTCCAATGGTTTACTGTTGTGGTGGGACAGGGACTTGCCCATATCGATCCTCAAATCGACATCCATTGATTTTCTTTTTTTGTGTGTGTGTAAAAATATTTGACCCATAAAAGCCTGAGACTGTGCTGGTGGAAGGCACTGTCTGGACAGATTGCTGATGGTAAGCACTTTGATCTGTAAACAAACACCCTGTTTACGGGGAATATTGTCAGACTGGACCCCAGGGTCAGATCGTGTAACCCAACTGCCAGCGTTACGCATGTGATAACACGATACTAAAATAACCATGTTAACGCGGTGTCACTGCTGTGCGAGTGTCTGTTGCTCTGTATGTATGTATATCTGCATTTTCTAAAATTTTCTATTTTTCAATTTTCTAAAAAGCTAAGTTTCATTTTTGTATTTGTTTTAAATTATATTTCACACTCTCTCCTAAAATTATATGCATTTTGAAGGCTATGAAAAATAGTTAATGTAACTACTTATATTATACAGTCGTGGTCAGAATTATTGGCACCCTTGGTAAATATGATCAAAGAAGGCTGTGAAAATAAATCTGCATTGTTAATCATTTTGATCTTTTATTTTAAAAAATATATATATATATATATATATATATATAACTTCCAAAAAAAGCGTTAAAATCACATTACATTCTAACATAGCAATATTAAAATATAAAAACAAAAAAAAATGCTTAAAATAAAAATGAAAATAGAAACAAAAACAGACTAAATTTGAACTGATAAGAGGAATACACTTTACACATCTGAGCATAGTAATATTATCAGGCTATGTTTGATTTACCCCACAGTGATTCCTTTACAGTTGCTGCTATTATAAAAATGCACTTACTTGTAGGTTTAAAATGCTGCATATGGCACATATAATGTCCTATAACAAGTATTTTAGCAAAATGTATATTATGGTGAGATTTATTGCTCTTGTATTTTATTGCGCTCTGTCTGTTTGGTTCCCATGCACGTGGCAGCGCTCATTCACTGAAGTCCGTAAGCTAAGACTTGTCCACTCCTGACAGGAAAAAGGAAATATTTGCATGACTTTCTAACATGTACAGATGGAGAGAAATGTAAGTTATGCACTGAGGAAAACATGTCTCAAACGCATTAAACAGTACAAATATCTGTTAGAGCATCTGACTGGGCAAGCTGCCTTAAACGTGTTAATAATATCTTACAAAATTAATTTGAAGCTCTTAATATAAAGCATGTTTCATGTTTAGGACAATTTGGTTTATGTGTTTTCCTCACAGCAGCTAATTCTGTGTTCTCCGCTATTTCTCAGATGCGCTTGCAACATCAAACTACTGTATGTAAGGGATAATGCACGACGTGGAGGCCAAGATTTAATGTCTCCAGGTATAGCAGCCTGGTTCTGTAATTTGATAGTTACTCTTAGATCTCAGCTGAACCGTTTGGTGCGTACGGCAATGAAAGTGGTTGGTTTACCCCGATCTTCAGTCTATATTTAACAAAATTATT